ATGAGAAAATTTAATAAAGAAGTTACATGGTAAACTCAATTTCAAGAAGAGCATTTGACTTGTTTTGAGTCACTTTGGGACCCCTTTTTATGTTCTTTCTCATCATGTATTCATGTGGTACTAAAATATACACTGTAATTAACAAGGTATTATTCGGCAAATTAAGTTTTTAATATAAAGAGCAACCGAGCAACTTGGCAACAGTCCTTAATAAAAGGTGCTAATTAATGAAAGTATATTTTAAAATACCATATATACCCGTAAAGACCGTTGTATTTGTGTATATAAATACAAGCATATCTTTGATGAATTCATCATATCTTCCATTCACTCCACTCTTTTCTCTCTTTCTCTCTCTCTCTCTCTCCTCTTCTCTTCTCTTCTCTTCTCTTTTGCAGGTTTCCCTTCATGCGGCTTATAGATAGGTTTAAACAATTCCGATCTAGGTTTCTTCATGTGTTAACATAGTTTTGTATTCATTTACTACTGTTTTTTAGGTTATCTAGTCTTATTAAAAATGTTTGTTAGATGATTTTTTTTGCCAAAATCTAACGCCTTTTAGCACGAATCTGATCTTAGAAATCTGACCTACCCACAATCCAATGAGTGATTAGAACTCTAGATTTAGATTCTCTCCTTCTTCTTCGATCTTCTTCTTCTTCCCAATATATTACAGACATACTATGCCACGTCATCATAAAAGGGACTACTGATTGATGTGCATGGAAGGAAGGATGGATTGACAGTCGATGTTTGCAGGTGTAGCATCATCAAGATTCACATAAAATGGATGGTGAAGATGTGTAATCATCATCTTCACACCAATTTTACTGTGGGAATCTTGATGATGCTGCATCAGCAATAAACGACTACAACATATATAAATAACCAATAAGGTGAATGAAATTCCTCTCTAGCTATCTCTTTGTAGGGGAGATGATCAGCTGTTCTTAATTTCTAAAGCATCATCACAGTTCTGTTTACTTTCAATAAGTGTTTAGTATTAAACGAGCTTAATTAAAAGATACTGTTTTGATGAGCATTTGGATGTTATGACAAGAAAGTAATATTGAGATGGAAAAAAGGTGAGATGACTTCCATTTTGTGTGATTGTTGGATTCATTTATCCATGTTAATTTCTATATAGAACATTGTGATTTGTTGTGTTTAATTGAATTCAAGATTAGTGTTTTGGCTTCTTTGAAGGAGCTTGTTTCTTAAAGTTTAATTGAGTATGCATCAGCATTTTCCCCTAAAACCAAGCTTATTTTCCTGACATTGACAAAATGTTGGTTGTTTTTGGTGTGGTTGCTTCAAAGCTCATCTTTTTCATAATTGTTCCAAACTAACTTTTTTATCTCTAGAAAACATTGTAGTACATTCTAATATAGCTTCTTGGTACACTTTCAGGAATAACTTGCAAGCCAAACATTTACCTATGTTTGGCTCATTCCAGGTTCTTGGTTGCAGTAGTTACCACAGTGAATTTTTCACAAACATGCAGAAAACTCTGCAGATAGCTAGAAGTTGCTTGATCGAAGCTAGTTGTGTATGGATCATTATGTATGGTTTTAAGTGCTCACTCTATCTTGAACTTTCTGGACTGATGAAAGCTAATAAAGAACTGATCGAGGTGAGGTTAAATTTTTCTTTCTTCCTCTTCTGACATTACAAATCAAGCCAGGTTCATACATTTCATTTTCAACTTCAAATATCCTTACTCGCTTGAAGTATAAATCTAGTGTGCAATAATATTAATGCCTTTCTTAAAGATTTATTCTAACAATGCCAAGAATCAACAGATACATTGATTTGTAAGCATCCTTTGTTAATTCAGAGTGGAACTAAGGGTTCTGTTAATAAGATACATTGCTATATAGCAAGTGAAGATGCTTCAACTTATACACAAAAACTGTTGAATGACGAAGGAACTTATAATTGTGACGTAGCTTATTGTATTGTAGCTATAAACCAACCCACATTATGCCCTTTCATCTTTGCCTTTGTCTTCATGATATCAATGACAAAGTAGCCACGAGATCGACTCTTCTGTCATTTACCTTCAAATCTTGATCTGACATGATTTGGATTTGAGTTTATAAAAGGGCAGGCAATTGAAATGTGTAATCAATTTTTATATTTTTAGAATAATTTGGATCTTCAGGTGTGTAGAGATAATTAATTTAGTAATCAGGTAAATAACAAATTGTTACAGTATAACTTTCTAATGTCTTTACCTTCAAATCTTGATCTTAAAAGACAAAAGTTTTAGTTGTCTTCCCTAAGCAACTATATAATGAGTCATACCATATATGTTAGTAATACATTAATACAATATGAGTCTAGTTATTGAATCTTATCAGATTCTCTGTCACATTTGTAATTTTGTATGATGTTCAGTTTCTTATGTTTCTTTTCATTTATCCTTTTTCTTTTTCAGATATATCTGAACCAAATATAATATGGCTTTGGTGTCATTAGACTTGTGTGTTTATCCCTTAATCTTGATTAGCCAGCTTTATTCAGGTGTTAGTTTGCTTATAACTAGTTGAGCTCACATGTTACTTTAAACACCATCCCAACTAATTAATCATGACAGAATGTATTTTAATATCAGATGTAGACATTAGAAAGAACAAAACAGGATTAGCCACATGGTATGATCACTAATCTAATGCACAAGATCGAACTAATTACAATTTATAAAGATTACAGTACTTTGGGATATACTGCTGGTTGTAATCTTGACTTTTAACAGTTGACAGGTTAGCTAGGTTGTTTTTGATTATATTGCTATAAGCTTATGATTATTGGTCAAGCATGTTAGAGACAAAAGGACATTATTTCATGTCACAAACTATATGGAAGAACAATCATATCATTCCTTTTTTTTACTGTCAAGATGTGTATGGTACATAGATGGATAAGAATTTCTATAATAAAGGTATGTATTGAATAGAAGTCTATAGTATGAATCTTTTTTTCTTCTTTAATGCAGGTGTTATATTGACATGTATCATAGTAAATAGTTTAATTTTGGTATATATATGTTTTGCTTTTGAAGTTCATTACTTCATAAACACCCAACTAACAGCCTCATTTAATATACTGGGTATTTATATTTGACATTAGAAAGAAAACTTTAAAAAGCTTATTATTGTTCAAATTTTAATGGATATGTGATTTGATGAAGACTGATTTCACCCCTAGTTAGCTATTTTACCCATCTGCCTGGCATCTACGTACTGAGGTGGATATTGCACTTTATTGCTTTATATCAATGTGAATTAAGCTTATTATTGTTCATTTTACATTTTATTTGATGTAATATAATATGATTTAGATATTCTTATGCAGAAAATTTGAATATATTTCATCTTCTTATAACAAGTGGCCTCACCTGGTCAGATTTTTCTTAGATATGTATTGCCGTATTGGTGTAGTTGCTACTAAAGACCATTGTGAATGGTTGGAATGAAATATAATGCTGCAAATAGTTGAACTGTTGAAGGCTACTCCATTATTATTGTCGACAAAAACAATCTTCATTTGCTAGATGCAAATTTGAATGTACAGTATGTTGTTCAGCACTCAGCTCGCAGGACCTAGCAGCCTTTAAGTGCAACTGTGGAAGATAACCCTCAGGTGCATATTTAGTGTGTATTCAATATATGATCTTTCTTCAAAAGAATCATCATAACTCAACTTCTTGTTTAGACAATTTAGTGATTTACAGTACCAGTTAGCACTTAGCACTAGCTATATTGCTTGGGCCATATCCTTCTATATATCTGGCCTGGCTCAACCTCTATCATTCATGATTCATGCACAAGGACACCAAACCAAAGTGTATGTGGTTGATATAATAATACGTTTCAATTGATTAATCCGTACACTGCTTCTTGCTGTCTGAATGCACACTTACTTGTGTTTCCTCGTGGATTTCAGTATATGATGCTGTTGCTTCCTCCAGTCCCAAATATGATGCTATAAACACAATATATTCTGGTCCCCACTACTGCAACTCTGCAACATGATTATTCACTTGAAATTATAAATGTGGTCCGTTACGTTGATATGCTCTGCAAAGATGAAATTAAAAGTCCCAAAAGTGCTTCTTAAACATCATTTGAGAACAGATACAGGCATACAGCTGATGTGGTCTTCCCAAACACGACCACTCTGCCATATACCGCGGCAAATGTCGTTGGAGTGGAGGGAGCTTTAAGGTATAGCTGCATTGTATTTTAAGGCTGCTGTGCAGTGTGCACCATAAAGATTAAGGAGAGGTGTCTAACTTGGATGGATGAGAGGGGACTAATGGCAGTTATACTTCATTCAACATTAATTATTGATGTTATAAAGATCAGATCAGCAGATGTAGTTTGATACTGTTATTCATCGCCAATTACATGATCGAGATCACAAGCTCACAGCTAGTAATGGAGATTTCGGG